GACGAAGAGGACGGTGAAGGGCTGGCTGGCAGAGAAGGGGAGGGGGACAGAGAAGGAGAGGAGGAGGGTGCTGGCGAGCTAGAGGACGAAGCAGCGGGGGAGGAGGAGGCGGAAGGGGAGGGGGAAAGAGCTGAAGACGACGGTGACGGGCTGGGAGATGCAGGGGAAGAACTAGAAGGAGAGGCCGCTGGGGAGGTTGAAGGTGAGGCAGCGATAGAAGGAGAAGGAGAGGGACTTCTTGAAGGCGAGGGAGGAATTGAGGAAGGGGACGGAGAGGCGGTGGGTGAAGCGGAGGGAGAACTTGACGGGGAAGCGGTGGGGGAGGGCGAAAGTGATGGAGGAATGAAGGATGAAGACGGGGACGGGCTAGATGACGCTGCCGCGGAGGGAGAAGGAGATGGCGAGGAGGAGGGGGCGGGCGAGCTGGAGGCGGAGGGGGATGCCGCGGGGGTGGAAGAGGGAGAGGGGGAACGAGAGGGGCTGCTAGAAGGTGGGGGGGTGGTGGAAGGGGACGGTGAGGAGGAAGGAAGTGGCGAAACAGAAGGAGAAGTGGAAGGGATCGGTGAGTGCGACGGTGAAGGGGAAGGCGAGGGAGAAGGAGAGGTTGAGGGGCTGCTAGAAGGCGCAGGGGTCGTGGAAGGAGAGGGGGTCGGGGAGATGGAGGGAGACGTCGAAGGTGTTGATGATTGGGAGGGTGATGGTGAGGGGGACAATGACGGTGCAGGGGAAGGTGAAGGGGTTCTTGAAGGGGACGGTGACAAGGATGGAGAGGGGGAAGGGGAAGGAACTGGACGAGAGGGAACCCCACCCCCACGGAAGGAGATTAGGAAACTTTATAAAACATACTTCCACTGTCATAGCTTTGAGATGCGAGAAAGTATTGCACAAAAAGTTACTTTTGTGGTCAGATACAGGGGTTATGGATGGCACCCAGAGGAAGCGGGATAATTCAAGCCCTGAAAGTTGAAGATGCGAGCTCCAGAGACTGAATAAACAAGAGAGTTTTATAGTACCTAAGCAATCCGCTTGCATTACATAAGCACCAAATTACGACTAATAACTTGGTGGATTATCTCGTTGACAAGTATGTAACGTAAGTTGGGATCCTCAAACGCACCTGGAGAGACTATCAGATTCAACAGAAGGTAGCCGCCCGCATAGTTGTTCGAGATGTAGTTCTGATAAGTTCCAGCAACTGTTAAGGTATAGGTGACAAGACACTCCGCAAGATTTCCCGTCGGTGTAACGCTGTCAGGGGCACCCGGGTAGTCGTCGGTGTTGAAGTTGCCGTAGTAGAAGGAGATTGAGAAGTATGAACATATAGAATCGGGGTCAGTGGCTACGTTCGGGTCTACGTCGTTATTGGCGTCGCTGAATCGGGTGGATGGATTATTCCATTGATCAACAACTTTGACGTAGTAGTAGGTCGTCTGGCTCGCAATAGCTGCAGTAGCCCCGGCCCCATAGACATAATTATGATCGACGAATCCTGCAATGAGAAACAACCAAAATCACTTCAGAGTCCATCACAGGGCAATAACTCCGACCTTCCTGCCGAAGCAAGGCACCCAAACCATTTTCTTCAAAGAATCAAGCTCACAAAAGATGAGGCGATCAACCAGCTGAATATGGTAATCAGTCGTATTTGCACAACTTGCTGGCCAGTGATCTCCTCACCCGGCTCTACGTAGAGTCCCATAAAAGGGCTGCCTGGAATTTGTCCTCCTCCTTGTAGGATTCGCATTACATATTGTCCCGAGACAACCGGTGTATACGAGAGGGTCACCGTTCCGTCCTGATTATCTAGAAATGCCCAGGACGCCATCAGCGGAGACGATACGAATGTGTAGTTGGTGCCTCCACTAGTCACACTATTATTCCAAGAGTCCTTGCTTTGTATAGTGACGCTTAATGGCGTCTGCACTATTGTGCTCCCCAGGACGTTTCCAGAAGCGACGCAGTTAGATGGATTCACCGCGGCTGCAATGAAGAAGCAGAAGCAGCGTCAGTGCCCAGAAAATTCACCGTTCATTTTGCGCGGTTCTACTCCCAGAGAACATCCTTGTCTTTACGTAAGGTACTAGCAATGCGGATCACACAGCGTCGAGACTGCCTACGAGAGTGACAACGAATGGTACTACATCAACCCGTTTGCTCCGAGCCTTGTAGTCGATGTCAAGCAAAAGACGTTCAAAGAGGTACCAGCTCTCACGTTTCAGACTTTCTGCTTCGCAGAGCCACAAGCCCTCAAGAGTTGCGAGTTGAAGTGCTCGTCTTCGAGACCAAGAAATAAACACTCACATAAGCTCAGCTGAGAAGCCTTCCGACAAAAGTCCCGAACACGTGTTTCAAAAACATGTTAAAATGTTTACCTGGGAGGATCGAGACGGTGTTTGGATCGATTGGAAGAGCTTGTCCAGAAGCAATAACGCGTAGTATGTAGATCCCAGCTACTGTTGCGTTAATCTGAGCTAGATAGTTGCCGGCAAAGTTGGGATCCTGGGTGATCGTCAGATTCACACTGACTGGCCCGTCGACGGATGCTGCTACGCCCGGTACGCCATCCATTGGCACGGGATTGCTATATTGGTCTCGTGCCAAAATCGAAAATTTGATGATACTTCCAGCTTGCGCAGTATAGGGGCAGTCAGGTGATATGGAGCTCGTGCTCAAGCTTATTTCGCCTGCATCGAAATAAAACGAGCCACGTTTTTCACATGTGAGCTTTTCAAATTTGTTATTGGATCAATCGTCAATGTGACCGGCAAGGTTTCCCGCAATCTGTCATCGCCTGAAAAACGAACCGTTGACTTGGGAACGAATTGATTGGACGTTTCAGACAAAACAGAGTAAACCTTGAGTCGGCTCAAATTCTTCAGCGGGGCAGGGAAACCAAATCGGTGAGTCATCCTCACCAGCGTCCATTTTGATGGAAATTGGAGAACCAATAATGTCGTTGCTTCCGTTACCGATCTTTAGCCAGTAAAGACCAGCTCGAATAATGTTGAAATTCACCCCCAGGTTGCTGACTTGCACTCCGGTGCGAGCGCTGACGTTAGTTGCGGAGTCGCTCTGTGAGTAATAATAAGCGGTGAATGTTCCGGCAGGAACGTTCTCAGATACGATTGTATTTCCAAAAGAGTCGTACGGAACGATGCCGACTATGATTGGAGTTGCCCCGGCTGTGAATGTTGCTGGACGGCCACTGGTCCAAACAGCTTGAGAAGTGGGTACACTGACCGAGCCTGCACGTACAAAACGCAAACGTCTTGACGGTCAAGAGGGCCGGTGTCTTGCAGAAGTAGAAGGCTGCATGCTGGAAATTATCGACCTGAACCAGCTCTTTCAGGACCACCAATTGAATAAGATTAAGCCTGAACGGATGACAGTGCTCACAGGACTGCCTCATTGGATAACTCACCTGGCGATACCGTTAGAGTCCTACCATAAGGTTGAGTGCCCAATACTCTCGATCCACCAAAGAAGACACTGACGTTGTAGTCCATAGCAACCGTGGTCATGTATTGAACATTATATATTCCCGGAGACGAGTTCGTGATGTTTATGCCGGTTACTGTAAGACCGTCTTGACCCGTCATCTTCACTGTAAACGTGTCGGTAGTAGAAACTTGCAAATTGTTGTAGGCATCTCTAGCGTAGATCTGGAAGGTTGTGATAGTGCCCACGGTTGATGCTGAAAGCCCACTGCCGGATGCAAGGCAACCTTTACCGTTGTCGCTGTCCACAGCGGTTGGTCCTGGAACATACGAGAGGGCCATACTTAGGCAAAATAAAGACATCAATTACTTCTATCGGAGTCACGTCAAGAAAAGAATCTTTGCCAGATTCCTTCCTCTAAGAGTACGAGGAAGTGTTTATCAAATGCCTGAGACCTCATGGACCACTCACACTAGTAGTTTGGCAACACGACTTGCAATGGTAGAAGCATACCTGGGAGAACTTGCAGAGTGTTCGCGTATGATCCTATCCGGGCGTTAAGTAACTTGACGACAATCGAGTAGTTTGTGCCAGAGTTCGTGGTCGCTGTCAGAGCTATATAGGGAACGGAGTATGTCCCATTGCTGACATAGGAGGCACTCAACGATGATAAAGTGGCTGGCCCACTGAAAGTCAAGCCGAGCAACCCAGCGGTGCTTGTGTCCCCTGTCGTGTACACATTGTTGTACTTGTCTGCAGCTTGTACGAAGATAGCACTTTGCACTCCGGCGATTGCCTGATAGAGGCCAGCTCCAAAAACCAGACAATTTGGTGCAGAGATAGCATCTGCAGGTACAACAAGAATTAGTGGTTCAGGTTTTTCAGACAAACTGCTTGAATAAGCACCGTTTTTGAACACCATGTACACAGCCTCTTGTGACGAGCATTTTGGCCTGGCCTGAGAATCAGTGGCCTGCTTGCAAGAAACTTACCAGGTGAGATGGGCACCGACAGAGGCATGCCGCTGATGGGTACTCCATTCCATGTAACGACCATCAGGTGGGTACCACTGATGTTGGAGCTGTAGGTGAAACTGTATCTTCCACCGGAGTCAAGCCAGGTCAATGAGCCAACGGTGGTCGCGGCTGAACCATTCGGGTAGGTGAAAGATATTTGCCATCGGTTGTAAGTGTCCTGAGTTGTTAGCACCGCCCCATAGTACGATCTTGCTGTCAATGTCGCTGTCAAAGTTGCCCCAGCTGTTCCTCCTGATGCTGACAGTGTGCACCTCGAAGGACTTTCAATAGCTGCAACCCAAGACGGCTTCAACCGGTCAGAACCATGGAGCAGCACTTGATATGAAAGTCAGCAACAATCGGCAGCTGACCTATCAGAAAATCATCTCTTGGGTGCATTTAAAAAAATTGCTCTTTTGGTCAAAAGCAGGACTCCATCAGAGGGTTTTCAAGGACCAACTTGTTGATTGCCTGACAAGCTCGCATTACCTTGTCGTACGTAGACGTTGTCGATCTGTGAGGTATCCAATAGATTTGCCCCGTTCAGCGTAGTTTGCAGCCAGTCTCCGGGTAATCGAAGACTTGTAACGCGGGATAAGACACTTTTGAATTGCGTTTGTGTTGGTATGCTCTGGCTGGGGCCACTGAGGGTTTGCATGGTCCAGCCAGCCTGCTCACTCAGATAGATTGTCATTGTTTGCCAAGCTGATGTTGGCCAGGGCTGGGTTACCGCTGCTGGCCACGGGAACGAAATGTTGTTCGACGAGATGCCCCTCAGGTAAACTCTTCCAGGAGCAACAGCGTATGCCCGAAGCTCTGGTGAAGCATTCAACCTGTAATCAAATTGCAAGACGCCTTCATACGCTCTTGTGGGCCAGCCTGATGCTGTGCCCCCCGAAGTAGGAGCAAAATCAGCGCCAGCATCAAAAGAGTAGAAGTCAGCTTCCTGAGTACTGTTGACCCCAGTATATATCCCATCGATGCCATACGTTGGGGCGTCAGGATCGGAGGCGGCCATAAAGCCACCACTATTTCCGCCACTGGAACTGTAGGTGGGCGTTGCTGAAGTTCCAGTGTTACTGTACACGTTGCCATTCACGCCGTACTGTGCAATCGCTTCAGCTGTTATGCCAACCACTTTCCATGTCCCCAAGCCCGAATCAAAAGTTTGGCTGTAGATGGCATCACCCCAGGGCTGGCCAAGTACTCCTGCAGAAATGTGAAAACGTCCCTAGATAAGCGATGATGATTTGTTTGGGTGGAACGAATCTAGCTCATGCTCCCATATGATTTCTTGTGCACTTCCTCGTTCGATGCTCAGTACACATATGAATTGTCTACAATACATAGAAGCTGCAAAGAACTAGTGGCAGCCTTCTGCTGCCGAGTCCAAAGACTTCACTCACCAGTCGTCCCAACGGTCAGGATTAGCAGCAGCTGCAAGGGTATGACACCGAAGAGCTGAGCACTCCGCCTGTCCGCCATTCTGCTCGAGGACTTCAAGCACATGAGTCACCGCCCCAAGCCTGGCATGACGCGGCAAGGAGCCAGCTTTGAGCTGAGGTCGGCCGGGGTGCTGATCTTCCTATCAGCTGAAGATGCGGCGTTAGTAGGTATACAGTCCCCGTGCCTTAATCAGAGAGTTGAAAGGTCTACCACCTGTAAGAATGGCAATCAGCGTCTCTTCAATGTCTGAGAGGTTTCAAAAGGACCTGCATTCGCAGTGTCTTCATAGACAGCGCTTGGACTGCTGTACGTTCGGCGACGAGCTGAACGAATATGGTTCACTTCATGGTGGAGTCACTGGAGTGGTCATGTGACACTGACACTGGAAAGCTTCACGTAATACGGTATACCTACACGTAGCCTCTAGGTCGGAACGTACTGGTACCGATACATACTAGATACCATACTACGTAGGTACATACAAACTTTGGTAGGTACATACCGTACCAGCGTTTAATTTCGTTTTTAATTAAATACTTATTTGGGCTGCCGAATATTTTGGAAAATATTTTTCTTCGATGACGAAAAGGTCGGATAGGATGTACGGGCGGTAAAGGCTGGTAATGCTTAGTTTTAGCAGGGGAATGCTACTTTTTCGAAATGTCAGAAAAATATAAAATACTCCGCCGAAATGTCAGATCGATTCGTAATTAATTGTTTGGCAACAAGACCGACGAAATTAAACGCTGGTACGGTACGTGGGTTTGCTATGAAGTACGGTAGGCAAATGGTGCCCACTGCCTACAGGGTACGGTATGATAGGTACCGTAGAAGGTACTAGGTAGGTAGTAGTTCTCCAGGACTCGGAGTGCATAATGTAGGAAGGCGAAGCGTCGCGGAGGCCCGCTCCAGCCTCTCGCAATCCTGACGCGGCGCAGACGGTCGAACATTCGAACTTCATGATGCCGCACATTCTGGCGCGGCGGTCCCCGGTTGGTCCGAGACTCGAGAGTCGAGTCCTCGGACACCTGAGACCTCACAGTCCAGACTCCACGCGTAGAGTTCGCGCGCCGCGCCGCGGCATGTGCCGGGCCCGGGGCGGCCGCTGCCGTCGGGCGGCCGCGCGCCTAACACACTAGGTATCACACTGACAGGCAAAGTCAGGAATCAGCTTAAACTCTTAAACTCTTAAGGTATGGTAG